ATATATATATATATATATATATATATATATATATATATATTAAAATTTACCTTTACGAAAAAGAAAAAAAATAAAAAAAAATAAACTTCGATGCCGTGATACATTGTTTTAAATGATCATGATTGGAGTCACCAAAATAGATTAAGCATAAATGTCAAACGAGAAAATTAAGTGGATCAAATAGCCTTGATAGGACCGGCTACCCTACATGATGCGTTCTAACTCATAATCGTCCTTGTTGTTGTTTTTTTTTGGACTCCCCTCAGAAGCATGTCGGTCGCGCCATTGGCCATGACAAACGCATGCAACATTTGAAGTCGCCATGATTACTGATAGAGAGAGAACAGATGGACATGTCGTCCAGCTGCTTCATAAAGCCCGGTGATGAAGCTAAGCGTGCACCGCTTTCTGACAAACAAGAGTGGAAGATGTAAAGAGAGAGAGAGAGAGAGAGAGAGAGAAAAAATTAATGTTATTATCTTGTGAGAGCGATAAACACCGAGTCTCTTTTTTCTCTTTGTACCAATCAAATAAAATATAATTTTAACAATACATACCAATACGATAAAAAATAAAATAATAAACAAATCGTAAAATAAGATTTATAATTTTTCTTTTTTGTTGAAGAGGAAGAGAAAAGTCGAAACCAAAACAAAAATTCAGACATCAACGAATAAAGAATATATATATATATATAACATTTAACATCAAAATGTACACTTTTTTTTAAAATATCAGCAGCTTATATCAAAATCTGACCTTATATTAGTCCATGAAGAGACTACGTTTCGTTTACTGAGCCATGCTTATAACATCCATCTATCGGGGGATAACTTTCTTCTACCTCTCCAACGCTTCGATCCAGAGGAATCAGAAACAGCGGACAAACAGAGGACGCTGAGTGCAAAAGTTGCGTGCAGAGGCATACATCAAAGAGAAGGAATCGAGTGTTTGCCACGAGTTAAAAAAAGGAATAGTTTAAATCGAATCCTCCACGTGACAAAACTAAAAAGTCGTCGTCCAAGAAATGGGACCACTATTTTACCTTTTCTTTTCATTTTCCTTCCTTCCAATATTAGCATCTCTCTCTCGTACGTTGCGTTTCCTTGACGTTCAGAGCCAGGACGGAAGGAACGTGGGCGTGCGAGCACAGGAACGGGTTTGATTTAAGGCGCACTAGTCCCGTGACGCTGCCCTCTCCTATGACCTGAGGAAGATAGCGAGCCGTGAGGAATCAAGAACAAGGCGTGATGGAGAGGAAGGATGTGAAGACGCACCCCGCTAACAGGTACCGGTTGCTCTGCTTCTAACTTGCAATGATCTCACGGCTTCCACGCCTCGGATTCTGTCTGAAATCTTCTTGCTGTTGGCGATGGATGTTCTTGTTGTCGAGAATATGCTCGATTGTAGTTGATACCGCTCTTCTCTCCATCTGATTCCATGTATAAATATTTCTCTTTTGCTTTGGGTTGTTGTGTTGCTATGTGGGAGATTGTTGAGGGGGTTGACGATGACAACGGCGTACCCACCGGCTGCTGCGTCGCCGTTCACCATCTTCTACGCCGGAAAGGTCAGAGTCTACAACGCGATCCCGCCGGAAAAGGTATCTGACTCCGGATCTAGATCCGTTTAGTTGGAACATCTCCCCACACTGCACGCTTTGGACTCGCCACTCCAGCTGAAGCTTTTGGGTCGACACTGAAGCAGGCCCAGGCGATCATGCTCATCGCCACCGCCGTTGCTGGGGCTACGAAGGTATCTGGCGACCGGACTCCTGCTGCCGCCGAGAAAGCCCCCGCAATTGTCGGCCCCAGCGCCGCCGCGGCCGCCGCGGCGCTTGGGCCGGTGCTCACGAGGTCTCTGTCACTGCAAAGCTCCACTGCCGGCGGGCAGCCCCAGCCGCAGCTGATGCCTACCGCCAGCGACGCTCTGTGCAAGCTGCAAGATGGTCGGAACTCCCCCCTCTTCCTTGGTTCTAGTGGTTCCTTTTTCTCCACCATTAGCTCACAGATCAGAGATTATTAGTGACTCCTCTTCTTGCTCGCTTGCAGAACTGCCCATGGCAAGAAGGCACTCGCTTCAGCGTTTCCTGGAGAAACGCCGGGACAGGTGAGCTTCCTGCTCCACCGTCAACTTGTTCTTCTTTCCATGTTCTCTCTACTTTTGTCAGGAAATAATCCTGTTGATTCGTGTCCGATCACGTAAACTTCAATCTAAATCCATATCAGTTGGCTTGATTTAGGCAGTATACTGCATAGTTATCAGCAATCTATAAACATAGAATCACACCTGATTACATTCCTTTCATGTCTTCAAGTCACATCTTGGTTAATTCTTTAATAATCCGCTAAAATGAACCCTAGAGAATAACTCATAAATAATCTTGTCATGACACCATTAAGATATGTGCATCTGAAAATTATTATTATGATTTCAGATATTTAATCTTGATATTCCAAATACCAAGTCCCTTAATTATTATTATTATTATTATTATTATTTGTGGACATAACATCACCCTGGAGATAAATACTACATTCTTGGTGCTGAAAAATCTTGAAGCCCCTTGATGTGTGGATACCATGACTAGGACACTATCCACAGAATATTTCACAGGATAAAAGGAAACCCTAAAATTAGATTATGTCCGTTTCAATTATAATTGGGGATTTGGGGAACATGAGTTAGGTAGCAGGTCGACATTTCCAACGTTATCGATGTGACGCGCACACGGGTGATGCAACCGTGCGAATGCCCCTTGCTGGTTTACCAGCCTGGCCTCCTCGTATGATGACTGGAGGCAGAAAGGGTCCCAAATGGGGCCCTTTCACAGGAGATCTATCCATTCTACAAAATTTGGCATTTCCTTTATATATTATGCCTGTCAAACCTCTAAATCATCTTCCCAATGACTACTTTGTGCAGGCTGGCAAATAGGGCCCCCTATGCTGCAGAAAAGTCCTCAGACATGGAAGTGGCCTCGGAGGAGAGGCCTCAACTCACCTAATCAGCTTGCAGTTCGTCACTGCCATAAGAAACTTGATTAGGAAAAGCTGCTATGCTGCCACCCGTAGTTGAATCATGAACTTTGTGTTAGGTCACCTTAACTGATGTCTCTCACTGCATCATTTTACTGTCCTATGATGAACCTCTTGCATTTACGAACATGCAATTATTACTAATGTTAAAAGTGCTGTGTGGCATGCAGTATCGATGTTTGATACACAACTTTAGACATTAATTTCTGCTTACTGTCCTTGTGATCTAATAGCAAACTGCAAGTGATGTAAAAAGAGTGGCGAACACTTACAGATATTTCGTAACAACAGGGGCCAGTCACAGAGTCCGGTGGTAGTAGGTATCAGACACGGAGGATTTAGCCACCGATCACCGCACGGAGGGTGGCAGATACACCTACGAGACAAAGCAATTAGGAAAACAACAGCATGAGAACAATTAGAGTGTACGAAGAAGACATCAAGCTGAAACGTTGTTAGCAATGGTTTTGCTGTACCAAGTCTCGTAGATGATGCAAAAGCTGCTATCGCCGGAAGTCGTGCGTACACATAATACGGTAGAAAGGCTGCTAATGACTTCTGACTTCCACTTTTGACATATCGCACGATTCCACCAACTTTGACGATGGCAACCAAGACAACAAATTAGTTTGAATTCCCAATTCGAAAGCAAACTATACATGTATTAACGAAAAACAGGTTCACAATGCATAAAACACAACACCATAGAGTAATCAGAATATTATATGTGCGGATGGTTCATCATTCCATTGTAAAGCATCTTATGCTAGACCATCAAAGAACAGTATTGTAAATCCACTCCTTTCAGTTCGAATGTACTTCGCATATCTGACAGTCTAAATCTACAAAAACAATTGATCAAAGGAATGAAACTGCAAAGAAGAAGTCATACTTACCCAAGATTCATAACCTTTGAATAAATCAGCCAGATCTACAACCATGACAAAAATTTTAAGCAGTCCAAGATGTTTCACCCATTACAGTAGCTAGTGCCACCAATTCTAAAGTTCCCAGGTCAAATGGATCAGATGTCTAAGCGAAGCCAAGAACAGGATCCATACAATGGAACTGCTTATTGACCAATTGAGTCCAACCCAATTGAATGTTGACATATAGATATACACACTCAGCAGGTTTTAAGATATTTAATAATAGATTCATGTTTAATTTGACAAATTGTAAAAAGCATTTAAAAAAAATTTAATCGGAACTTGACTAGGCCAATTGTCTTACTCCCAAAATCAATTAAACAGGCTAAGAACAAAATAGAACCCGCAATCTCTATTTCTCAAGTCAAATTTACAAATTTAAGAGAAGAAAATAAGACCACCTGATTGATACAGAAATTAGTTGGTGAAAAACTCCTTCCCTTGTGGCCCAATCTCCAATATTTTCTTCCCTCAAGGTAGAACTTGAACAAATACATTACAATATAAGATGGAACATAACCATCTATTAGTTAAAGAGACCTTATGTTCTGAATTGCCTGGTTATAATTCTCCCAGTCATAATATATTGACTTCATATTCACTAATTAAAGTTCTTTGAAGGATAATCACATCAAATAGATTGATATGGCATAAGTTATGAGATAAGAAGGTACTAAATTGTTTTAGCTTCGACCAATTATTAAACTGTCGTAAACTAGAGTTAAAGTACCATCTTCATACTCTTCCAATGAGCAGATACGCAGCAACTAAAGACTGTGTGTCACAAGGCAGGCGTAAATTGAGTTGTCAGAATCTGATAATAGCGCGATGTAGGTGCCATTAACAAGCGCAACATGGTACATGATACATGTAACACTGTAGATACTGTGTCCTTGTCAATAGGCAAAAGCAGCATATCAGACATTCCTTTTCTAAAAGATGACAAAGGCTCTATTTTCAAATTATATCTTAGAATGATTACAAACCAATGATATACTGTTTTTCTTTTAGAAAAATATGCTAACTGCAAGTTAGCATATAAAAGCAAATCAAATATAAATATATCGCAAATTGATTTGTACATGTTATAATGAAGTCAAAAATGTACATCATCTCTTCCTAAGACCTTCGACTTCTTCTTCTGGAAATGAGATGCAACTAATATAACTTTGAAGCTTCATACAGATTTTTCATGTTACAAAACATTAACTTATAGTAAAATTAAATAGGGCTTTCAGTATAAGGGTTTTTGTTTGTCTTTGTTTTGCAAGAAGGGCAACACACCTACAAACAAGCTAATTTTTTTAGTTTAATTCGAATTGAGAGATCATAAACACTAAATTTACTGGAAAAGGGAAGAGCTTATCAAACCGATAATAGAATGTACATGGAACAAGATACGTCAAGCTCCAATTACAAGCATCTCTCAGCATTATTTGTTGGATTGTGAAAGAATTACACATTAAATATCTTAAAAGGTCAAATTACCTACAGCATTTGCGCATCCAATTTATGTGCTTTAAGCAACAAAGATTCACATCGACAAGTACACGATCCAAAGGAAGCTTAAGGGAAAGAAGGCACAGAGGTAGGGTCAGGGGTTACCACCAACGAGGGCCTCGAAAACCGGCGTCAACTTCTTCTCTTTGTCGACCCCTCCCTCCTCGCCTCCTCGGAGCGGTCGTCGTCGCCTTCGCCAGCCCCCGAGCCGTGATCGGGCCCCTCGACTCCTCCTGCTGCGTCGTCTTGTACATCTACCTCGACATCCTGTGCCTCGGAATCGGCGGCGGCGGCGACTCAGTGATTTCCGTCGATCAAGGGAAGGAAGGTGATAGGAAATGAGGCGGCCCGGGGTTCGAGGGGCGGAAGAAGCGCGCAGGGGGGAGAAAGATCCGGGAGGCGGTAGCCGAGTGGCGGAGGACGAAGAGGGACGTAGGCTGCGATGCGACGGCCACAGTGGCGGCGGAGGCAACTGCCATTTTTCTGGTCGTTCGAACGGCGAACCAGTCGAGCTCCGGTTTAAGGCCTCGATGAGCGCAACAGCTCGACGTGGCGCACATCGAGGAGACGAGAGAAGTGGGACCAGGTCGGTGCCTTATTGATGTTCTCCAACTCCGCCTGTATCTGCCATCTTTCAAGTCGTGACACGAAACAACTCTAAGCTCTTAAAACGTTCTCGAACATGAGGATCAGATGTTCCAACCAAGACAGAAATTCACAGATCACAACGTCGGCCTAGGGCAAAATATGCGAATTCTGTGGTCCCCACTCGGCCAGTGCGGTGGGAAAAAGCCGTCACCCTGCCTATATCTTCACAGCCGATCCCTACCCACCTCCGAGTTGCGCCAGCCGGCACATCCGGAAAATTCTAAACGTAATGATTACACAGAGAGATAGAGAGAGATAGAGAGACAGATTGTCTTGGACTCAGCCGCCACTCAGTGAGTTGCTTGGATTTTAACACGTCATCAAGTCAATCGGCTTAATCCGATGACGGAGGCAGAGTCAGACGCCAACGATGACAAGTTTTGATGCGACAAGCTAAAATTGCTTTGTTCGCGTTTCTGTAAGGGATCGGGATCATCCTGCGCAAGATGGAACAGTAAACCAGCTTCCCGCTACGCTAAGTATGGAAGACGGGTTGTGTGAACTAGAAATGGTTGTGGAGAAGAGGAAGGAGCGGTGGGCATTGCAGCTCGGAGGAGTGAAGGATAACGCCACACCTTCCCAATATACATGGTAAGCCGCCCGAATCCATGCCACCTCCCCAGACATAAGCGAATGCAGCTCCTTCGCATTTGTTCCCGCTTCATTTCCATCCAGGGAGCCTTGTTTCCCCTCCCTCCTCGTCCTCCGCTCGCAGCGGCCGCCGTCGTCGACCGGCCGGTGCTTGATGCTCTTCACGAGAATCCGCTGGAGGAGGAGGACCGCAGGCGTTGAGAGTGAAAGAAGTGATGAAGGGCGAAGAGATGCTGCAGCATTGTCTGATGTCGAAGTCCTCGGAAAGCGAGGGGAAGGAGGACGAACAGGCGGTGGTGATCGACGATCCTCCCTTGACGTGGAATGCCGGTAGTGCCGCCATGGGAGGCAGCAAGAAGAGGTTGCTCTCGAAGCAGCTGTCGATGAGAGAGACAACGAGGGAGGCCAAGTGGGAGAAGCGGAGAAGGCAGACACTGCACAGGAGGCACATGATGATGGAGGCGGGAAACGATGAGGAGAAGGCCGTCGAGAAGGAGCCCGGCGATGACGGCGAGAGGAGGCTGAGCGGAAGAGTGAAGAGCCTGACCGATGAGGACCTTGATGAGCTGAGGGGATGCATAGAACTCGGGTTCGGGTTCAGCGAGGAGGAAGGCGGCCATGACCTCCGCCACACCCTCCCCGCACTCGACCTCTACTTCGCCGTAAACCGTCAGGTCTCTGACCCCAAGCTGTGGTCCTCGCCGAGCCCTGCCTCGACCCCGACCTCCACCTCGTCTCCGTCAACCTTGTGCGGCCCTCTGAGCCCCCGCAGCCCCGATGAGCAGACGCGTTCCGGCTCTTCCGAGGCCTGGAAGATATTCAACCCAGGTGCTGATCTACAACACCATGTCAACCTATCGATCTAACACATATAGAACGGAAATGTTGATGACAACTAGGGTGGTTTGGGTGCTGAACAGGAGACAATCCGCAGCATGTGAAGGCGAGACTGCGGCACTGGGCGCAGGCTGTGGCGTGCTCTCTCAAGCAAAGCAACTGACAGCGATCTCATGCACGCGAACCCTTCCGAGAGAAGAATCGGCAGATCTATTCGAGTCATCTCTCACATCCATTCTACTTCATCATCCCCTATTTGACACTCACTGCGAACTGTTGCTGTTTGATGTCGTCGGTTCATCAGCCCACTCCTTTTCTTCTTGTTTCTTTTCTCTTTTTTCTAGTGTCATCAGCACCATTACATGGATAGTAAATAGGAAGAAAATAAGCTTGCACCCATGGACGGAATCATTGCATGCAGCCTGTCACCAAGAGAGATGATCCAAGAGCAGCAAGTCAACTTGGTGAATTCAATGGGAAGCAATAGTTTTTCTGGTACCATTTTTGCAGTTTGTCTTCTCACCCAGTTTGTCTCATCCTTTAGAGTATACACTTACATATTATTTGCTCTGCTGCTGCTTAATTGATGACATCTCACAACTTATGAATCAAGACTCAGTTAGATCAATCCATCCATCGCTTCAGCATTCTCCAAATCAAATATGATATGACAAATCTTTCATATCTTGGACCGTACACTATATCAGTGTGACATTTAAGTTACCAAATGGACAAGATGATCACGAGGAGGAAGAAGAGAGAAATAAAACGACAAGCCAAAGAAGAGAATTATTAGGCGAAACTTGGACTTGACCTTCACAAGTCGAAGAGTTTTTAGGGATCAACTCAAGTCCATCAACTTGGTTGACAGGAGTCTGCTCGCCATCACCAAACCGGGCTGGCGGCGTCGTCCTCACACCCAGAAAGAGACCCAAGAAGGCCGTCGTCATCAGCATAAGATGCGAAGAGGAGCTTACCGATTCGACGGTCCGGATCGCGTGAATGCGTTTACCGGGTCAAATTTTTTGGGCGCTGAAGGCATTTAACTCCTAATCCTACCAAGACCAAGCTGTGGCAGCTATTGCATTCTGCTTTGGGTGCTACCAAAACCACGGTCCGCCTTCGCAGTAGACCGCAGCCCATCAACGTTGAATTCTCTCGCTCTCGGTTGCTCATCTTCCTCCGTCTTGCACTCATCCACCACCTTGAGTTGAGTGTTATGCCTCCTCGCTCAGTCGCAGCTTCCCACACGTCTAAAACTTCCTTCTCTTTAAGCAAGTATTTATACGTTGTTGCTTCTTTCTCGACGAACTGCAAGAGGAGGGTAGAATGTCCACAGCCGATCAATCGATGGGAGGCGGAGGGGGCGGGGGCGGCGGCGGCGGCGGCGGCGATAACGCTGGCGTAAAGATAAGCAGCGAGATTGTGGTGGCGGCCATCATCTTCTTCTTTATGGTGGTCGTCCTGGCCTTCTTCTTCTATCTATACGCCAAGCGGCGCTTGCGCTCCGCCCTCCGCACCCGTTCTCGGTCTCGCTTTGACTTCGCCGCCGCCGACCTCGGCCCCCTCCCCGTCCCGGGTCGTGGCCTTGAAGCCGCCATGCTTCGGTCGCTGCCCGTCACCGTTTACCGGGCGGCGGACTTCAAGCAGGGGATCGAGTGCGCCGTCTGCCTCTCTCAGTTGACCGACGGTGAAGTGGCTCGGCTGCTCCCTAAGTGCGGCCACGGTTTCCACCTCGATTGCATCGACATGTGGTTTTGCTCTCACTCCACTTGCCCCCTTTGCCGAAGGCCCGTCGGCATCAACCCAAATGCCGAGCCCGTGTCAGGGTTACCGACCGTTCATGCTCAGATGAATGCAGGGAATTCTGTAACAACTGCTACAGTAGAAAACAGAGATGGCTCGCTGGAGAGTTCTTCGAGCTCTTCAGGAGCACTTGTGATTGAGATACCGCGTAGGGTAGCGGAGGAGTTCCCGCCGACGAGTAGGCTGACCACGGAAGAGCCGACATCGCCTGTTCCAGCGAGGTTTAGGTCGCTGATGAGGCTGTGGAGCCAGGGGAGACGGGCTGCCGGTGCGTCACATAGCCTCAGCGAAGGAGGCGACATAGAAGCGACGAGGGAGGGATCGAGTGGGAAGCATTGATGCATCAAGTTCCGAGCTGTATAAACTTGATTTCTTTATTCTATTGAGGGGGTGAATAATTAATTATTCACAAATTAGTCGCTTAGATTCATTCTCATTTGTCGATCCAAATGAGTATATTGTTTGGAATTATTGGTACGTGCATCGAAAACACTGGTAAATCGATTGTGAAGTCTCTCTTATTTTGCTCACTATAAATACTAATACTCAAAATAAACAGTAAAAGATATCCTAAATAAAAACTAATTTAATAATTAATCATAAAATCGATCTTACGTTGAAATTTTACCTTCATCACTTATTTTTTTATAAAAAATAAAAAATAAAAAATAAATATATTAATTATTAAGCATAGCAAATGTGATGGGAGACGACAAATGGATTGGGAACTAAAGTGAAATCATACATGATAAACAAATCATCATTACATGATTTCCTTGTAATAATATTTGAATAAAATAATCTTTAGTCCAGATTAATCTGATTAAGATAAAGATTCATCATTTTAGCTTGAGTTTATCTTTTTATAAATAAAAAAATATATTATACAAGGTTTGAGAAATCATAACTATTCATATTTAAAATAAGAAAAAAATGTCAGAAATCTTACGATCATGAGTTGGGTTAACAGATATTATATCACATGAATTAAACCCAAAAATTTAAACTTCTAAATTATGAGCTACACCTAATAAATGTAATTTGATTTTTTTAATCCTTATCCTTAGAAATATGAGGTTATCTTTTCGGGATATCTCTCTAAATCTCACGGATATGAATGTTCTCAACATCTTCCTCTTTATTTTCTTTCCCTTACTTTTAAGGGTGTTTTATTAAATATTACTTATTTTCTGATGTTACGAAACAGATCACTTATTTGCATCTATCTATCACGATGTGATTCATCATCAAATCATGTTTGATTGGCTCAATCCAAAAAACAAAAAAAAATCAAAACTAACTTTATTAACTCAAGGTTTTGCTCTCCACCTAAATATTTTTTCTCTAACACCTTTCTCCGATCTCTTCTTGCTCCTATTTCTTGAATGGTTACAAAGGTAAGAGAGAAAAGAGGAGAACACTTCTTACTTTTACAACACTTTTAATACCCTAAGCACTTAGAATTTTTCACATTATCAATTACACTTTTGTTACTTTTTCACGTAGAAAAAGGTGAAGTATTTATAGGTCCTAATAACTTTTGAATTGAAGCCAAAAAGTGCCACTTCTTCGGATTTCGGGATACTGACGGTACCACTGTTATTATTGGGCAATACTACCGCCTGCAAACTAATATTGGGCGGTACCATCGCTCCATCTGAACGGTACCACGTCTGGGCGATACGACCGCTTGACAAAGCTCGGAGACCGAGCTCTAGCGGTACCATCAGTTGACAGCATTAACTATCAATGATACCATCGTCCATAACACTTGAGAGACCGAGTCCTAGGTAGTGCCACCGCCGGCCGTGATTTCAGATGCTGAATGAGTTGTTCAATCCAACCCAAATCAGCTCCAATTGGCCCCTAATTGAGTTAGTGGGATCACCTCCCAATCCTAACTCAATTTAATGTTCTAACTACAATTAAGGCAAGCAATTAGTGTAGTATGTCGATTTTTCTCTCGGCGATCCTCCGGCGAACTTCTTGGCGAGTCTTCCAGCGCATTTTCGGCGAACTCCTGATGAACTCTTGGCAATCTTCTGATGAACTTCTCGGTGATCTTCCGAACTCTTGGCAATCCTTCAACGAACTCTCGGCGATCTTCAAATGAGCTCTCGGTAAGCTCCTGGTACATTGTTAGAATCTTCGACTCTACCCCATCATCTACTTTACGCCTTACTGCTATCATAGTTAATCCTGCACACTTATCTCAACATATAGATTAGGTCAAACAATTTACCAATTGATTTCATCATCAAAATCCAAGATTCAACACTAACATGATCCCTTTTTTTATTTTTATTTCTAAATTAAAAAATAACTCATGAAAAGCATCATGTAATTTTGAAATAAAGTAAAGGGATTCTGGTTACCTTGTTGTTGAGAGTCATCAAAGTGAAGTTCGCCACTTCGTCTTTATCGGTTTGCTTCTAATCTTCTAAGGTACTCGTTTCGTCCCAAAGTGCTTTCTTCTTCTTGCGTTCATAGCAAGTAGTTGCATTCCTTTTAAGTTCATTTTTATTCTTTGATTCTTGTTTTAAGAATTTTTTAAGCTTTAATATGAGGAGTTCAAGGTCATTATCATCATCACTTGAGTTATCACTCAAGTGGTATTCTATTGTTCGAAATGTCAAATCCTTCGTATTCTTTGGAAGGTTGTTCTCATGTTCGTTTTGTGCCATACAACTCATTTCATAGGTCATTAAAGACCCGATAAGTTCTTTAGAGAAAAATTATTCAAATTCTTAGCCTCTTGAATGATCGTCATTAAAACTTTATTAACTAGTTCAAGATTCGAAAAACATTTGCCAAGAGCTTTTAAACCATTGACGACATCCGTAAAACGAGTGTATATGTCAATAATGGTTTCGCATGGCTTCATTCGAAATAGTTCAAAATCATGTATCAAAAAATTGATTTTCGAATCTTTAACTTTACTAGTGCCTTCATGTGTGATTTCAATAGTGTGCCAAATATCGAAAATCATTTCGTACATAAAAAATTCGATTGAATTCATTTTTGTCTAAGGTGTAAAATAGAGCATTCATAGCTCTAGCATTTAAAGAAAAAGTTTTCTTCTCCAAAGCATTCCATTCATTCATTCGAGTAGAAGACTTTTGAAATCCGTTTTCAATGATATTCCATAAGTTTAAATCCATAGAAAGCAAGAAAACTCTCATTCGAGTTTTCCAATAAGTATAGTCCATCCCATTGAATATAGGAGGACAAATGATTGAAAACTCTCTTAAAATCCGAAAAGAGCCATTTCTCTTGGGTGTTAAACTAAATGAGAATAACCTAGCTCTGATACCAATTGTTAAGAACGAGTCAGCACTAAGAGGGGTGTCACGCCCCCCCGAATTTAATTCTCATTTAAGAGGTGTGAACTTAACTCAAGATTGATAAAATTATAATTCAACAAATAATCCAGGATCCAATCACACATTTGAGGTCACTAAGAAAAATATTCAAGTCATTCACCTCTACAATCCACAATTCACAAAACCTGTGCAGTTTATAATCATACATCATGTCACTAGATGATTCTTTAAAATCCAAAAGTAACTTAACTAAACCATAACTATATCATAAATCTATAAGCGCGGCAATTAATGCAATCACAAAACCAACATGTACTACATGTTTATATCAGTACACAGTTTAAACTTAACATTTCCAAAATCCTGACGTAAGAGGTACTTTTCAAATATTTAC